TTGTGCACCACTCAGGAGAATTCGGAAATGCAACGGTTAGAACAGCCGCTTCCCTACGACTTTAACATCATGTGAGCGCCTGATATTTACACTTTATTATGGCGCTCGGCAGCGTATTTATGCGGGTTGATATAAATGACAAGTGCAGGATGTTATTATTGAAAAGGGGAAATGTTTCGTTTCTCTATTTGTAAATGTGGTCTTAGAAACTTACGACTCGTTGATGGGAACAAAAACAAAGTCCTTCTGGAACAGATCCACGTGCCGGGTCCACGTCTTGACCCGGTTGTGCTTCTTCTTCTGGATCCTGAGAGGCCAAACGGAGAGTTTAGGTCTGCAGCAGGAGGAAAGGTTAAAGTCCGGAAGGTCCCGGCTTTCACTCACGGCAGGTTGGCTGTGTCCGGCACGCTCCGGCGCTCCCTCTGGTTCAGTCTTTTGTAGAAGAACGAGCTGAACACGTGGATTCTATGTGCGTCTTCTTTTTTTAACTTTTCCAAAACTAAATATCTGAAAAGGACAATGAGGTCAGAGGAAAAACGGTTTCCAGGTGTCGTCTCTTCTATGAAAAGCAACAGAAATGAGAAACACTCACTTTAAATAAAAGTCTATGATGACGTCATTGAGGAATTCTCCATCGTTAAGGCAGTGCAGGTCCTCGTTGGTGACGGATATGCCCCCTTTGGCGGGGGGCGGGGGGTACACTATGAGCCTGAGGCGGGAGACAAATAGAAGGAAGGTAACCAAACGCTTACAGGAGCCGTCCTGCAGGGGGCAGCAGCATCACTTACTTCATGACCAGTCCGGAGAAGGTGGGCTGCAGGTCCGTCATGTCCTCGTCTTCATCGAAGCCGGGCTGCTGCCGGGTGGCCATCCGTGTGCGTGTGGACACGCCGACGGCTGAGTCGGGGGACAGCGTAGGGGAGGAGGGGGAGGCCTGCTCAGGCTTCGCCTGTCCGGATAAAATAAACTCTGCAGCCGTCAGATTGAACGATGGATCAAATAGTTCAAGTTTTTGGCCTTAATTCAAGCAGGAAAACAGACGATCAGCCAATGGATTGATTATTTCAAGCCCTAAAATCAGATAGTTAGATATTTTGGTCTTGCAGTAAGATAATTGAGGTGTTTTTTTTCTCATTTTAAATAAAAATAATCACATTCTTACATGCCGATGATACAATCCAACACCATGGGTTCCTCCCCTGATGCTGTTCAGGCTACCCTGCAGGATGGCTGTTTCCAACTACAGAAATCCCTTACAAAACTCAAACTCTTTCTTAATACCTCCAAAACACAAATCGTAGTGTTTTTCTGTTGCACCGATACCAATAACAGTATCAGGAGGGGCCCCGATCTAGCACTAAAATGGTGGCACCGGTGAGTACCAACCAATAGGGCACTGATACCATTTTGAGAAACAAACGTTTCTTCAACTATTGTCATCCGTTCCAGGAAGACAATAAAAAGTTCTATTGGATTCACTTTGTTTTAGTCTGTTTCCTGCTTCACAAAGGTAGGCAGCAGCTTGAAAAAGACATGATGGCAATTATTTTACATCCAAGTAGTATGCAGTTCTTCATATATACACACACATATTAATTTCAAACTGATGGTATCGGTATCGGGGCCTAAAAATGGCACCACTAGTTTTACCATAAGGGTACTTCGCCTCCTCCTGCCTCTACATTTCCACTTGCAAGGTCATGTTGTCCCTTCAGACCTGAGCTAAGACAGCCAAAGTCTGACCAATTCCAACCGAAGCGCTAGCCTGGTGAGACCATCCTGATCTTGCGAGCTTTCAAGGTTTCACTCGCAGATCAGTCTGGAGACTCTCCGTTAAAGAAAATTTGGAGCCGTTCACCAAACGAACGTCCAATCAGCGTTGGCTTTGAGGCGGGTTGAGGTGTGAAGAAACGAGAAGCGCGACAGTTCAGTCTAAAGAACATGGCGGCTTCAGCC